TGATTAGCTGATTTAAGAGACATACTGAGCATCGGAGAATAGCATAGTTAATCCCCCTAGGTTTCCTCATGTTCCCCCTCTCTCTGCAGTTCTCAGGGGCAGCTGATGACAGGAGATCATTACAAAACACCTCGGAATGCAAGGCTGCTGAATACAGAGGTGTTCTCAGTTATGGATCAGGTTGAAAGGTTATGACTGTGCAGGGGAATGTGGGTGACCTGCGTGGGCATCCAGGGACGTTAGGATGATTTTGGTCTTCACTACTTTGGTGACATCTTTGCCCACAATTCCCAGGCTCACATCCCCAGGATTACACAGAAGGGAATCTCATCAGGATGGGCATGGCTGTCTTGGTCCTTTTGGCCCTTGGAGTCCTCCTCCTGGAGTCATGCACAGTCAGAAAAACAGAAAAACACCCAAAATGCAGGAAGAAGAGGACAATGATAGAAAACAATGCACCATTTAGAACAACAGAGACTTGAAATCAAATCTCATAACCCCAGAAGGCTTCGGAAGGAAATCATCATCGTATATTGGGCGAACTGTCTGCGGAGAATATGGACTGAAATAAATGTCATCGTGTTCGAGAGTTCTAGTTCAGAACTCTTCCTCAATTAAATTCTGATGTCTTCCCTTCCTACTGTTATTGACTTTCCTTGACTTCTGTCTCCGATTTGCTTACCTTATAAAATGAGGGTACATCACCCATGGCAGGTGCAGACCCATACCAATGTAAACTCCATGCTCTGGTCTTCTTGGAATGCATTGTCACTGACTTTTAGTTAAGATATTCCCTCATCTGTGCTATTGAGCTCTGTCTCTTCAGCTCAAGACACAGAATATGGTTTACATGATGGAATAAATGGCTGAAAATAAGTCTGAAACTAAGAAGTCTATAATAATTTGCTAAAACCCTCTTGGGAATCCTCAAACTCATCTCCCTCCATCAGATGACACTTGGAAGAAATGTATAGTATTGCTTCAGAAATACTACACATTTGAATGTCAACGCGCACTTAAAGTGCCAGCCCGCAGGTGTGCTAGTGACTCAATTCTATGAAAAAATAGTATTTAAAAGCTCTGTCTTGTGGTATTTGCCTCTTTATTTCGTGTAAATACTGTCTTCATGGCCAGCTTCAAAGTGGCCGTGCCAATGCCCTGAATGCTGATTTGGAACGTGGAGAATGGAATTGTGTTTTGCAAGTGAGTGTGAGCCAGCTGCAGTGCACCTCACTGAGAGCATCAATGTGCACATGTTCCTTATATTTAATGGGTCACAATATGATAATTTACACTTCAGTGTGGTGCTACCATTTCAGTGAAATTTGATAACAAATTCTAAATCACCTTCCCTAAAACAATGGCGATTATCAACTGGAAGAAGTTTTAAGTATTTTAGAACTCCTGCAGATTGAGGGTAGAAGTCCGGATTGCATCCGTCCATTTGAGTACTATTTTAGAATTGTCTTTTTAAAGAAAGAGACACACAAGTCTGACCCAGAGCTGTATGCCCTAGAGGAAAATGTGTGCATTTGCATGATGACATATTCACAGGAATCTTGACAGTGTTGTCATTCATGTAGACACATACATTAAAAGTCAATTTGACAAGTACTGAACATGTACAATATGCACGTATACATCAAGATTATGTGGCAACAAAATTGAACCAAATAAACTATACACCATAATACCAATCAACTTCAAATATGATTGTAAATAAATGAAGGGAAGTTTTAGATCTGTGGTGCAGAGATGTTCTATTAATTTGAGGTCAAAAAAGACAATATCTATTATTTAGTCAATAATAACTGAACTAAATTTGATACATAAAGAAATAGCATTGCATTCCATGTAACGCGTTATCATGGTAACATAAATGGTGACATTGGAAGGTTTTCTTCAAGATGGAAAACTCAGGGTCTTAGGGGAATACTGGCAATAATTCTTGATTTTCCTGTGTTGACTCATAAGTCTATTTGTTGTTATTGGTAAAGGCACGTGTTTGTTTATAGCCTATGTTTATTTTCCATACAACTTACTGAGGTGGGATTGAATTTGGGAAGAGAAAGCCACAAGCTGCACGTGGCCTTCAGCTTCCAACAAGGTAGCTGCTGATGGGTGACAGCAGTTCCTCCACCTGTTGGCCACGTGGCCCCTCAAAGCATGATCACCACCTGCCTGTGCATCATCTCCTGAGTCCAATCTGACAAGAAGCCACTGCCCAAGTCAAAAACGCCTCTACACAAGCATTGTGCCTACATCACAGGGCATGCAATGAAGAATTTAAGACCAGGTGTGGTAGCTCATGCTTGTAATCCCAGCACTTTGGGAGGCCAAGGTGGATGGATCACCTGAGGTCAGGAGTTCAAGACCACCCTGGAAATTATGGTGAAATCCCGTCTCTACTAAAAATTCAAAAATCAGCCTGACATAGTGACACATGCGGCATTACGGCTCCGCATAAGTGTGCATGTAATCCCAGCTAGTTGGGAGGCTGAGGCAGGAGAATTGCTTGAACTCGGGAGGTGGAGGTTGCAGTGACCCAAGATTGCACCACTACACTCCAGCCAGGGTGACAGAGCGAGCCTAAAAAACTAAAATGTGTGTTTCTGGGTTTCTGTACCCACCGGGTCCCTGAATGTGAGTTGGGATGTAGGCCACCAACATGGATTCGGTGGTTACTTCAGAAATGGGGTTCAGCCCCACCGGGCAGTGGTTTCAGAATCAAGCAGTGGCTCCTTCCATTCTGAACCGTGCTCAGGACGGCTGCCTCCTCCTTGATCCTCAGTGAGCCACAGGAAACCTCATGGGCAGACATGGCTGCCCTTGCCTGTGGCATTTCCATGTCGGAAGTTCTCATGGATCACATTCTGTAAACCTGTGTTCTTCGACACCATGATCTCATCATCTGCCCCAATCTAGACAAATGTGGCCGAGACAGTGCCACGGCTTTCACACAGCCAGCCCTACACTTCCTGGAATGGAAGAGGTGAGTGCTGTGGGGCAACAGGGCGGACTGAAGGAGAATCAGCCCAGCTCTGATTCTAGGACGAGGGGGGCTCCCAGGGCACTGGGTAGCCATGATCCTTTGCAATGGGGACTGCCGTCTACACCCTCTCATCCTGCTGGAGTTCCCAGCCCTCAGTATGCCCGCTCCTGACCACTAACCTGGTCCTCAAACATCACTTCCTCATGACTCCCTTTCCGAGATAGGAGAGCTGTGCCAGTCTATTTTCTAATCACCTGTATCCAAGGAGTGATTCCACATACAAATGTCATAGTGCATAGTTATCTATTCTGTAGTTATTTCTGGACATCTATCACATCCCCTAGACTAGCAGGGCTCAAAGTATACGATCCGTGTCAGTGAAGCACATGCTTTATTTTTCTTTTTTTTTTTTTTTTTTTTTTTTTTTTTTGAGACGGAGTTTCGCTCTTGTTACCCAGGCTGGAGTGCATGGAGTGCAATGGCGCGATCTCGGCTCACCGCAACCTCCGCCTCCTGGGTTCAGGCAATTCTCCTGCCTCAGCCCCCTGAGTAGCTGGGATTACAGGCACGTGCCACCATGCCCAGCTAATTTTTTTTTTGTAGTTTTAGTAGAGACGGGGTTTCACCATGTTGACCAGGATGGCCTCGATCTCTTGACCTCGTGATCCACCCGCCTCAGCCTCCCAAAGTGCTGGGATTACAGGCTTGAGCCACCGCGCCCGGCGCTTTATTTTTCATTCTTAGTTAATTGTATGAAATAGGACTGATACTTACAGATATATGTTGGAAGAATGGATGGATGCATGTATTAATTGTAAATGGACAGACAGAGAGGGAAGACCTGATAATTTATTCAATATTCAAATGCACACTTTAAATCTGTAGTAAATCAAGCCAACAACCTCCCCTGCTGCTTTTCCCTTGAATTTTGGGATATTTGGCTCTGCTCTCAGTTTCCTGGCTCAAAGATTTTCTGCGAGACATACACAAAGATAACAAACTAAAATCAGCCTGACAAATCCTCATGCAAAATCATACCTGCTGCATTGCCTACGTCATCCACGGGACCCTGTGCAAAATGAAAATAGAAGGCCCCAAGTTCAAACATCAGGATGGCAATGCGAAGCATTAAACCCGCCTTGGAACTCCGATTGCACAGCTCACGGAAAATGTAGCCAGCCCTGCGCAGAGACATAAGCCATTTAGGGTTTGCACAAGGGGGTAAGACCAGCAGTTTCTGAGTTGCTCCTGGGAGGCAGAAGCTGGACTGGGCGTTCCACAAATTCTATCTCTGTGTGTTCACGGTGTAACTAGAAGGCAGAAGTCATGGCGATCTCAGTAAAGATAATCTCATTCTAGTGAAGGGATTTGCCTGAAACACACTAGGTTATGGCAATCCTCTGTGTGCATGTCTGGCTCCAAGCTCCTGCCTGTTCAACTTCACCATCTCCAAGATTCAATTTAATGAAAGCATTAGCCCCAGAAATGGGTAGGACCCATCACTCTCAACATCACAATGCACCCGGCACCAGAATGCCCATTTTTTATAGAACTTCTTTTTGGACATTAGGGGAAACGTGCACCTTTAAAGAGCGGCTCCCGGCCAGGAGCAGTGGCTCAAGCCTGTAATCCCAGCACTTTGGGAGGCCAAGGCAGGCAGATCACAAGGTCAGGAGTTCAAGACCAGCCTGGCCAACATGGTGAAACCCCGTCTCTACTAAAAATACAAAAATTAGTCAGGCATGGTGGTGGGTGCCTGTAACCCCAGCTACTCAGGAGGCTGAGGCAGGAGAATTACGTGAACCCAGGAGGCGGAGGTTGCAGTGAGCCTAGATTAACACCACTGCACTCCAGCCTGGACAACACAAAGAGATTCCATGTCAAAAAATAAATAAAAATAAAACAACAGAAGAAATAATAATTATTATGTTCCTTATATACATAATATATGATGTAAACATATTTAATATAATTTAAATAATAGATGTGAAATTCCACATTGCAAATCATACATGTTTATTTGTGTATGCATGTAAAGGCATATGTGCATTTTCTATTGCTCACTGCAATTATTTCTCCCCATTGAGGTTCACTAGGCAGGAGGCCATTTCTCCTCATTCATAGTAAGTCAAACCCGGAGGCTTCCGTGTCTGCCACAGTCCCTGTGAGGAGAGAATACTTCCTCAGTATTAATGGGAACAACCCTTACCCCATTTTGCCAGGGACTGGTCACTCCCTCTGCTCCCCGCCCCACCAGCTCTGCTTGACCTTAGGGGACTCCTTTGAGGCCCTGGGGGGACATGAAAGTGGGTTGGACTTTGACTCCAGGACATCTGTGCGGCTGAGCACACCCAGGGGTCCGTGTGGTCACATACCAGAGGATTTCCCACAGTACTGTCCAGCCCTGGTCAGGAGCCACCCCCGGACCCTGTGTTCTGCCCAATGGGAGATGAGCCACAGCAGGTGGAGCACATTCCCTGGGGCAGGTTCCGGCTCAGGGGAGAGGAATAACAAGAGGACCATCCATCCCGTGTGAAAAGACAGCCCCTTGTAGGGGGGCTGCCCCCTAATCTCTGGGAACCCACTCCCCACCCAGCCAAGCAGAGGCAGCTCTGAGCCCACCCGATGCTGGGCTGAGTGTCCAGGCCATCTGTGGCGTCCAGAGGGGACCAGGGTGCCAGGACCTAAGTGGGCGTGAGGGCAGAGGGGAGGTGTGGGCAGAGGGAGAGGAGGAGGGGAGGGCCGGGGAGTCAGGAGGAGGGCAAGAGTGGCCACAGAGAGAGGACAGCAGCTGGGACAGGGTCCAGGGACCTGAGGACAAGCTCGCGGGCAGAGCTGAGACCAGGGCAGGGTCCAGGTGGCGTCCTCACCTTTCACCACGAGCTCCAGCTGCTCACTGGGCTGAGACCATCTGGAGGCCTTATGATAGAGGCAGTGATAACGGCCGGCGCTGTCTTCACTCACTGAGTCAATGCGGAATGTGGCCTCTGACAAAAACGGACTAACTAGAGACACATCATAATTATCTCTGTACTGGGATCTATTCTCCCTCTCCAGGCGGAATGCGTGAACCCCAGCTGGGCCCCGGCAGTGGAAGGTCACAGGGCTCCCCAGGGGGATCACAGTGTCTGGCTCAGCCGAGATGGAGGGTCTGGGCAGGGCCCCTAGGAGGGAAGCAGAGAAGGGTCTCAGTGTCCACTGCAGGAGGTCACCATGCCACACACATCATTTTAGCCTCACAATTCAGGGTTTTTAGCAAATTTATACAGTTATGCAGCCACGACCACAGCCCGACTTCAGAACATTTCCCGCCTCCTGCACCTTCCACCTGCGTGTGAATTCTCATCGCTGCAGAGTTATTTTCCCAGTGGACACTAAGGACCCTGAGACTTGCTCACAGCTTGAGCCTCGCTCAGGGTCACGTGGGAAGAGTCAGAGCGGCCTGGGGCCCTTCGTGTCTGCTGCAAAGCCCACGGCCACTTTCCAGAGGGACAGAGGGTGGGAGGGAGGCACAGCATGGGGAGACACGGTCACTCGTGAAGGACAGGGGACAGAGGGGCGAGGAAGCAGTAGAAACTACCTGAGCTGAGCAGACGGGACACCAGGGCACTCACAGTGGGAAAATCAGCCTGGGAATGTTGCTCAAAGTATACAAGGTTTTAGTTAGAGAGGAGAAATCAACTCAAGAGACGTGATGTACAACACAGTGACTGCAGCTAACAACAAGGTATTGCATTACTGGACATTGCTAACAGAGGTGATTCTAAGTGTTCTCACCACAAAAAAATGATTAGCACGGGAGGAATGCCTCCGTGACCTAGCTCGATGTAGCCGTTCCACCCTGCGCATTGCCCACAGCGTCATACTGGACATGATAAATGCAGTTTTAATTGGCCAATTTTAAATGGAATTAATTATTTTTAAAACATCAGAGCCGGCACGGTGGCTCACGCCTCTAATCCCAGCACTCTGGGAGGCTGAGGCGGGTGGATCACCTGAGGGGAGACGCAGGAAAAGTAAAGGAAGAGAGGGAAAGATGAGAAAAATTTAGAGTGAAATCACCAGCACTGGGTGACAGGATGCATCTAGGAGGATGGAGAAGAGGATGAATCTTCAGAGTCTGCCCTTGGTGACTGTCATATTCCCCGCCAAGGAGCTGCCGTGGGAAGTGTGGGCTCATCTGGGGAAAGCTCCCGGGCTCAGCCTTGGTCATGTTGGATTTGACCCATCATTGTGGAAATCGGTGTGTGGAAGTGACGCCTGCACTCCCGTGATGACTGCAGCACGACCCACAGCAGCCAAGACGTGGAAATAACCTGAGCGTCCACCCACAAATGAACGGATAAGGAAAATGTGGTGTGCATATGCAGTGGAATATTATTCAGCCCAGAAAAAGAAGGATGTTCTGTTACTCACAACAACATGGATGAACTGGAGGATATTACCCTAAGTGAAATAAGCCAGGCACAGAAAGACAAACGCCACATGTGGAATCTAAAATAAAGTTCATCTCGGCCGGGCGTGGTGGCTCACAACTGTACTCCCAGCACTTTGGGAGGCCGAGGCAAGTAGATCACCTGAGGTCAGGAGTTCGAGACCAGCCTGGCCCACATAGTGAAACCCTGTCTCTACTAAAAATACAAAAATTGCCGGGCGTGGTGGCACATGCCTGTAATCCCAGTCATTCGGGAGGCTGAGGCAGGAGAATCGCTTGAACCTGGGAGGCAGAGGTTGCAGTGAGCTGAGATTGCGCCACTGCACTCCAGCCTGGGCAACAAGAGTGAAACTCCATCTCAAAAAACAAGTCATCTCACAGAGGTAGAGAGTAGAATAATGGTATTAGAGGCTGGAGGTCGGGAGCTTGGGAGAGACCCTGATCAAATGATACAAAGTTTCTATTAGCAGGCTGACTGTAGTTAATAATAACTTACATGTGTCAAAATTGCTAAAAGTATATTTTAAATGTTATCATCACAATAGGTATGTTATATGATTGGTATGTTAGCCTTATTTAATCTTTCCACAATGTTTACATACGTTGTAACATCACATTGTATCCCACAAACATACATAATTATTTGTCAATTAAAAATAAGATTTGTTAGTTAAAAATAAGAAAAGCAAAATATGACAGGAGGAGAATGAAGGAGAGAAAGGGGTGAGGGCTGTGCATTTCACATTTGGAATCGTTTGCAGTCTAGGATACATTTCAGGGGATCCCTCCAGGCCCTCTGAGAATCAACATCACTCCCACCCAGAACTGCCCTTGGGGTACAGAGGGGCCTGGGGAGACGGGATGAAGATGGGACTCACCCTCCTGCATGTGGATCGTCTGGGCCAGGCAGAGCACTGGAAGAGAAGCCGCGGTGAGAGAAATGCCCACCACCCAGTCCTCATACGGGGCTGCTATCAAAAGGGGGCTCCATGCAGCTGGGGGCATTCAGCATTTCCTAACGACAAAACCACCCCTCCTCCACATCACTGTCTGAGTATAATCCTTCTTGCTGCAAAATGGTTTCAAGATAAATCCCAAAGTCTCCTCTTCCAAAAAGGCACCTGCTCCCCAAGCCGTTTTTTATTTTTTGGAGATGGAGTTTTGCTCTTGTGTCCCAGGCTGGAGTGCAGTGGCACGATCTCGGCTCACCGCAACCTCCGCCTCCTGGGTTCAGGCAATTCTCCTGTCTCAACCTCCCAAGTAGCTGGGATGACAGGCGTGAGCCACCACGCCCGGCTATTTTTGTATTTGTAGAGACGGGGTTTCACCACGTTGGCCAGGCTGGTCTCAAACTCCTGACCTCAGGTGATACACCCTCCTCGGCTCCCAAAGTGCTGGGATTACAGGCGTCAGCCACTGCGCCCGGCACCCTAGTCCCTCTTACAGCTGACCTCATCCCCACACCCAGGCCCCTGCTTTTAGGACAAGGTCTTCTCTGGTCAGACTTAGGCCCTGGGCAGAGCAGCAGGGCAGTCTTGGGGGAGGAGGAGACTTCCCCCCCAGAATCCTCAGGACTGGAGTCAGGCTTGAGCAGGGAACTTTCCAGCCCTCCCCGCTGCCTCCAGGACTCACCTAGGCCCAGGAGGGCGGTGGGGTGGGGAGACATGACCCCGGTCCCAGACTCTGCAGCAAATGCCAGCGGGCGGGATGTGCTGGCCGGGCGCCTCCTGCCTGTGGGGTTCCCACCACAGCAGCCTCACACAAGAGGAAGAGCTTTTTATTCTGTTCTTTTCACACTTCTCACGAGTGAGACGGGAGGGAGGGCCGTGGTTTCTGAAAAAATGTCGCTTACTCACAGACAGGTGACGTTAAACTACTTATCTGATGTGTACTTTTTCTAAATCTCTGGGACAAGGCAGAATAAAGGTCACACAACAAACTGGCTGGGACGTCATCCCAACTCCACAAGTCAACAGCCCATGCTCCTGGGCAACACGTTACAAAACCAGGGGTCGACGTTGCCTCGTATTTGAAACGGGGGCCATATAAGCCCTTCCCCAAGTTTTTAATATCGTGATTTTTGCTGAAATCCCAACAAGGTGGTTTTTTTGTTTTTGTTTTGACACATTGTTTCACTCTTGTTACCCAGGCTGGAGTGCAATGGCGGATCTCGGCTCACTGCAACCTCTGCCTCCCGGGTTCAAGCAATTCTCCTGCCTCAGTCTCCCAAGTAGCTGGGATTACAGGCGTGCACCACCACACCCAGCTAATTTTTATATTTTTAGTAGAGACGAGGTTTCAGCATGTTGACCAGGATGGTCTCAAACTCCTGACCTCAAATGATTCACCCGCCTCAGCCTCCCAAAGTGCTGGGATTACAGGCATGAATCACCACTCCCAGCCCAATTAACAATTTTAATTGTTATTATATATATTATATAACAAACACACACACACACTCTCTCTCTCTACTAACATGAGTTATCTTCCCCTCATCCCTCAGTGTCATTTGGCTCCAGTGGGGGTGGGGTGGTCCAACTGCGCATGCCAAATCCTGAAGGGGTTGAATGGTCAGGAGACTGTGCTCAGAACCTGGCGTTGAGGTGTGGGGCCAGATGGGCACCCAGCTGGGTGCTGGAATGAGAAGCAGGACCCGGACCGGCAGTGCATTTTTGCATCACGCAGCTGAGCAGGGCAGCACCCCGCTCCCATCATGGATTCTCATCCCCACTGCTTCTGAGGACCCTGGGGAGCTCGTCTCCAGGTGTGACTGCAGCAGACATTGACGAGGGTCTACACAGCAGCTGTGCTCACTTCTTCCTGACTCACAGAAAGCCATTTCTGTTTGATGCTCCAAGCCCAGGGAGCCAGTGGAGGGAAATGGAGTTTAGATGAAGGCAATTTTAGCAATCCACTTTCAGTGTTTGATTCAGAGCAGGGCACATGACCAGATATGACCAATCATACTTAAAGCAGAATAGGACAGTGTTCCTGGGAACCACATCCATCTCTTGATAACGGTGGGTTACATAAAAAGCCTGTGCAACAGAGACTCCGTCTCAAAAAAAAAAAAAAAAAAAGTTTTTAGCATCAAAATAGTGAAAATATTTCAAAAACATTGAAACATTCCAGCATGACCACTGCATTGCTGACCAGTCCCCCTCCCGAGACGTGGTGGCTGTCATGATCTCAAGCTTGGATCTCGTGGACAGACAGGGGAACGAAGCTAAGCCTGGTCTCCCAGAGTTCTGCACACTGCAGTTCTGATACGTCCTTCCAACCTAACCCATCTTCTGTGAATATGTTAGACTAAGTTCATGGGACAGCAATCCATCTAAAGAAGACAATAAGCCAACTAAAACTGCTTCCATATATTAAAGATTTTTTAATTCCTTAAACTAAGTGAAGGTTATACCATCAAAAATTAAGGAAAGATGGAATCCCCAGACTTGAGCTGAATACTGAACCTGGTTCTCACTTTGATGATTATATGACTATGAATAACTGAACTTTATTTTCATGGTTACGTAGATCATGGGGCAGAAGGATAAAGTGCAGGGGTACAGATTCCAGAAGCTTCCACCTCATCATAAGAATGAATTAAAATCACTCTCCAACTTCTCAAGGTTGCAAGGGATACTACATTTGTTTTGAAACTTAACATTCAACAGGAGGCCAAAACAAAGTCGCTCCTGAGAATGACTTTCCTGCTCCTGAGCTCTCCTTTCTCTTACAGAATGGCTTCTGTGTATTAGATTCTCCGCCCTGCCTCTTTTCCTTTTAGGTCTTCATTAGGGATTTTTAATCAGCGTTATCAAGGATTAATTTGCAAACTAACTGCATCCATTTAATCTGTGCAATTAGGTGAATTCTGACAGCTGTGAAACCACCAACATATCCAAGATCTTCATCAATACTCAAAAGATTCCTCGTGCTGACAGAATCGACATCAAAGGTCACGGAACACATGGCAGTTATTCAGGGTTTTTCCATAAAGGGTGATACAGATATGTCACGGTTCCATATTCTCAGGGGGGCCCTTCACCTTTGCATTCCTCTAAGACTTTGATCCCAGCTGGAGAAGGTTTAGGTCCAAGGTGTGCTACAGATTCAGCCTGGCACAGCTTCCTCACTCAAAAAAGAGATCCAGCCTGGCACAGCTTCCTCACTCGAAAACAGAGATCCAGCCTGGCACAGCTTCCTCGCCCGAAAACAGAGGTCCAGCCTGGCACAGCTTCCTCACTCAAAACAGAGATCCAGCCTGGCACAGCTTCCTCACTCGAAAACAGAGATCCAGCCTGGCACAGCTTCCTCACTCGAAAACAGAGATCCAGCCTGGCACAGCTTCTTCACTCAGTAACAGAGGTCCAGCCTGGCACAGCTTCCTCAATCAGTAACAGAGATACAGCCTGGCACAGCTTCCTTGCCCAAAAACAGAGGTCCAGCCTGGCACAGCTTCCTCACTCA